TGGGGAACGGTGTAGAAATATCGGATGCCTCGTTCCTTTGGTCTTCTTTCTAAATATTCCTGGAAAATTGTAGCCATGAAATTCGTCAAGAAAACAAAGTCCATGGGATTATTTCCCGTAGCTCGAATGCGCCACGAGCATTAGATTAGCGAAACTATGAATAACTTTTCCTTTCCAGGAAAGAATGGCACAGAGAGCGCTCTAAATGTTCTATATGGAGTTTGACTGAAATAATTTCAACAAGGCCCGAGCGAAGCGTGTACCCGCACCTCATCTGCCCTACCAGGCCAACGCCGTGTCGAGCTTTGGCTCGTGATCTGACTGTCCTACTTTATTTTTTCTAGAAAGGGAAATAAGTTTAAAATTACATCTTCGAGAAGGTACTTTTATTTTTTTGCAGAGATGTGTTTTGTAGTAATGTTTCCTACCCTGTCGTACAATCGATATTCATCCCTATTTTTGGATTTATTTATTATTGGCTGTTTTGAGCTCATTTTCATCTTTTAATAAAAGTTCCAAGCATAATAAAGTTTGCAAGGAAGTTAATATGTACTTGTTAAGGACGTGGCGTGTGTTTATCAGTACAGGAGCCTTAGTAAGACACAAGTAAAGTAATATAATGTGTAGTGCAGAGAAGGAAACGTTACAGTGTATAAATAGTGAAAGTACTGCACCCCAGAAGAATATTTATGGCAGTCAAAGTGATTAGTCAATATGGAAACGTTGTAGTTAGTATATAATTAGTTGCTGCTTGTTTAAATAAAGGCACCAACTAAAAACATTTTGTCCGTTCTTGTTAGAAAATGCATTACAGAAGAATGGTTTTTATTTTTATTGTATTGTAATGTCATGCTGCACAATAGTTTCGAATATTACCAGTAGTCGATTATGATAATATCCGTTCAGTTTATGTTCTGTGCAATTTAGAGTGTCTGAATGGAGCTGCATGGTCTACTTCTTTCTTCACAAGCTTTTTCAGGTGCTATATCTCAACATCCAGGTGGCACTGACAAGGTTAATCTAAGAGTAGTACTAGTGCAGTAGTGGCGTATGTACATAAATATTATTAAGGGAGTAATCCCGGCCATTTCCGATGTAGATCTGAAGAGTTGTCTTAATCAGGACACAGAATATTCCAATGAGAATGTCAGCTCTGTTATTTTGACATGGTTATCAAACCATCTTCTTAAGGCTTAAACATCAACCATGAACGTCACAAAATAAGAAGGAAATATTTGCATTT